GTTCTGGGGCACCTGCCCCTGCAGGTGAACAGCAGTGTCCCCGAGTCTCCACGTCCTGTGAAGTCACTGCCGTTGCTGAAACCTGCTCCACACCCAACTCCCCCCTCACTGGTCCTGAGGCCTCTCGGCCACCTCCTGCCCATAACTGGTAAGAATATGTGTTCAAGTGATGGCAGCGGTGACCCACTTATTAGCAGATGTCACAGCCCCAGGGCACGGCGGCGATGCTGGAAGAACAGAGGGAGACGTGCAGGGAGGGACATGTCCTTGGGAAGGCGCCTTCTATTCCAACGCCGCTTCACTATCTAGGAGCCGAGCGAGGGGCAGCTGGAGCGACAGCTAATCAATCCGGTGACGCGCAGGATGTGGACGCGGATCACTGCACAGGCACCTTCCTCGGGCCGCGCCGCCCCAGCCCTCCACTAACGTCAAGAGCCAAGGGCTGAGGCCCAGGCGCGGCCGGCCCCCTCCTCCCTGAGCCTGGCAGTGGGGCTGCCCTGCTAGCTGAGCAGGTCTGTTGTCCGGGCCAGGGGACGTGGCTGAGAGGCCGAGGAGCAGGGCCCCAGGCCCGGCCTCAGCTCTGTGGCCCTGGGGGGAAGTCACAGCCTCCAAGCCTCAGCTTTTTTTTTTTTTCTGCTGTAAAATGGGGATAAGATGTCACGGACCTTACTGCATGACCCGAGGACCAAATCAGAAACGAGAAGGTAGCTGGCAACATGCTACGCCAATGCAAGACAAACCCCAGTAGGGAGGACCAGTCACGGCCTGGCACACCACTGCCTGGGGTGCACTGCTCCCTTAGAGCCCCCCAAAAGATGCGTTCCCCTTAGACAGTACTGTTTTAGGAAAGAACCAGCTGGTTTGAAAAAGCGGGCTGCACACTGTTCTAAGTGCTGCAAATGGTCAGTGGCAAGCGTCGCCGAGTACGAAGGACCCAAGAGGGAATCAGAGGACACGCCTCCCGACAGAGAAAGAGAACCCAGGATTCTCAGGGAAGGCCCGGGGGACCCTTCTGATGTTGCCTTGAGCCGGTTCCCAGACTCTCTGCTCTAGGAAGAGAGAGTCCAGCAGGCAGAACTCCCCCTCGGCCCCCAACACACACCTGCTTCTTCAGGGGCATTTCCGGAGGGGGTCTGGGGAGAAGCCCTCTGTCGGGCAGAGGGTGGCGGGTCACCGGCCAGGCACCTGCATCTCTCTCCCCGGTCGCCCATGCCCTGGAGGTGGCTCTCACAGCTCCTGCGTTCAAGGCAGGGTGGCAAGCCAGGGTGACCTTACCCTGTTCCAAGGCAGCCCCCGCTCAATACCACCCGAGTGCAGCTGAGTCTCCAGCCGGGATGAGCTCCCTTCTGCCATCGGCGCTCCCAGCTCTGCTCGGCCCATGCCGGCTGGGCTGCTGGGTCACCTGTCCACCTGTGAATGGCGGTTGCTGCTCCTGTGACTGGCCAGGAGCCTTCAGCACTTGTGTGGTCCCACTGTCCCCCCAGGCTTCCCTCTGACACTGCAAAGGAGGAGGCAGTGACGGGGCCCAGGCCCTGGGCCGAGGAGGTGAAGAGCAGGCTGGGAAGCACTGTGGGTATGAGGAAGCGAAACAGGAACACTTGGCCGTGCCCTTGACTCTCGGGGACTGTGACCCACGTTCTGGTTCCCGGGCACTGGGGACAGTCTGAGCCTGGACTCTGACAATTTACGGAGCATCCTAGCACTTCACCACGGTCCCTGGCGCCTGCTCACTGTAGAGGAAGGAACGAAATGCTAAATTCTGGCTTTGTTTGTACCAAAGCCGCAGAAGCTCTGCAGAGAGCATCCCAAGATATCCCAGCCCGGAGGCAAGGTTGCGGGTTTGAAAGAGCCCTTTGCTAGCTGATCCTTCAAAGGAGCAGGAGGGGCGGCGGGTGGGGTCCTGAGACGCTGAGGCCTGAGAGTAGGTCCTGATGTCAGTTCTCATGGGTCCTCATAACAGGGCTGGGTCGCTGCTGGCTCCAGCTGCGGCCACTTGCTGGGGCGCCCTGGGGAGCCACCTGACTCACAGGACCCCCACCTCCCAGCACCTGTGATGCGGCCCCTCCGAGGAGGGAGAGGGAGAAACTCACTCACGTCGGCTGCTCTGCACTCACAGGACATGGGTGGGGTTGCCAGGTGCTTAAGGGGAGGGGGAATTTTCCATTCGTTAAGGTCAAGGGCTTGGAGAGGGGACAGGGAGCTGCTGGGAGAGAAAGCTCCCTCCCTGTGTGTGGTCCTGACGCTGCACACGGAGTTAATATCCCCAATATTCTCATTCTGCGTGTGCACCGCAGCAGGCTCTGAAAATTAAACCGCAAAATGAAAGCCTGTACCTTTATCCCCCAGAACACACTGTCCCGGAATAGCAATGAAGAAGTGGTCACCAGGAGGCCCTTTCAAACACGCAGGCCCAGACAGGTGCACCTTCTGCCCAGGACAGAGTGGGCTGTGCCGGGGTGGGAAGGGCGCTTTCAGTCCGCTCGCTGCCTTGCCCGACACTTGGGTGAAGCCTGGCTGGCAGCAAAGTCAGAAATGGCTGGTAGAGAGGGGCACGGGAGCCTCCAGAAGGGAAGGACAACCTTCTGAACGACGGTGACTGGGGGGCAAGGGGAAGGACTACCTTGGTTCCCCATGATCCAAAGAGGCCGCTGGGGAAGATGCCATCATCACGAGCAAGAGAGCCCAGGACTCAGGAAGGAACCCACACCTGCCGACCCCTCTCCACTCGCTGTGCCCCTCCCATCTCAGAAAAAGGGACGCAGAGCACCCAGTACTTAGGGTCGGGAGACACTGTCCTGCAGCAGCCAGGGACCTGGGAGCCACACGCAAAGCTGTGAAGTAACTCTGGAGACAAAGGCACGGCCCACCTGCCGTGAACTCTCCAAAGCGGGGTGTGGGGGTGTGGGAGGGTGAGGCGGGGGGGAAGAGCATGTCGGAACTGCAGACATTCCAGCAGCCCCGAGCCCCCATCAGTGGGCAGGGTGGGAGGCATCAATAGCCCAGAGAGAACAGGCCGTGTCCGCTCCCCGTCCCCCTCCTGTTTCTACAGCTTCTGCAGGCCCCGTGGCAATTAGCTGTAGGAGCTATAAGCACGTATCTGGGCGGCGAAGGCAGTAATTAATGCCCGTCTGCTTTCCTGAAGGTTCCTTCTGTTCGGTCGGAGTTATTGAGATTCGGGGAGCGAGGCTTCCAGGATGTGGAAGGTTTGCAGGAAGAAGTGCAGGAACAATCGAGTAAGACAGTGATGATGCTTCTAAATAATTCACCCGGCCAACGGCAGCAGCCAAGATTCCCAGGCTCCGTATCTCCTTTGCTGTGGGAGAGGGGTGTGCCGGGCAGAGCCTGCACAGGGGCCAGCGGCCCCCTGGGAAAGACCCACCCGAGGGCTCTGCATCGCCCCTCTGCCCACACGTTCCCTCTGCCCACGCGCTCCATGTCTGTGTGAGCCTGCCCGTGCCAGTTAGAGATCCAGATGGGTTGCTACACTTCCTGGTACCTTTGCTAATGTTACCAATCGCTGTCCGCTGAAATGCTAAGAGACTAACAGACCTGAGCTCTCCTGGCTGCCCCACCTAGTTACTCTGCCCACCCCAAGGTGGGGAGGCAGGGAAGGGGGTAGGAGCTCAGATGCGTTTCCACTAAAAGATCAATTCCCAGCCAGCGCCGAACATGGGAGAGAAGAAACACAGACCACGCGATGGCTCCGGAAATGCGGAGGGAAAACTTCTCTCCCAGGGTTTGGGCCACAGGACTCCTCTGGTAGGTCTCTGGGGTGGGGCTGGGGAAGGCAGGACAACCACTCAGCCCCGGGGGTTAACGAATTCAGACCCGAAGGAACCAACGACACAGCCGCAGGGCCTGCGCGAACCTCCGCCAGGATGGGCCTAATTAACTTAAGAGGCCGGCTCCCCAAATCGCTCACTCTCCAAATCAGCTAAGTGGCCACGTGTCAAACTGTGTGTCACCCAGCACACCTAAATGTGTGTCAGGCTGCGGACCAAGAGGAAGCAGAATATTAATAGATACTGCAAAAGGCAAAGAGAAACATTTCTCAGTCCCGCCCGCAAAGCAGGCAGAGATAAATAACTGTCTGGTTTTGTATCTTATTACTTCTCCTCCCCTCCGCCCCCGCCCATGGCACAAAGCAATCAAGAAGGAGCCTGGAGATTCATCATCTTCCCTTGTTGGCGGGGGGCAGGGAGCAGGGAAGGCTGGTGGCTCAGAAAAGCCTCCGGGGCCCCCTGGAGAGCCAGTTAACATGGCTGAGTCCTGCCTGCCCGAGGGAAACCTGGGGTCCACCGTATGCTCCTGGGCTGGCCAGGAGGGAGGTCAAAGCATGGACGTCTCCAGAAAAGTCGCCCTGGCACTCACTCTGACGGGGCTTTGCTAAAACTGCCCCTCAAAACCCGAGCTACATTCGCCGCCCTGGAGCTGGCAATGATCGGAATGCCAACTCCAGACCACATATGACGGAGGCTGGCCGCGAGGACACTCTGGGGCTAGAGTCTTAGTGACACGATCCACTTTCTGGCCAGGACCAAGGCCCCAGTAATGAGCAGAGTGTGGAGCCTCGGAGACCTTTCTCCCGGGAGGGTTGTGCCAGAGGCAAGAGGCAGCCCACACGCCCAGGCGGGACGGGGCTGCGGGCAGGCGCCAGGCCACTCACCAAGTAGACGCGGTAGACGTCCCCTCGGCGCAGGGGCCCCCAGCACAGGTCCGTGTCGTTGTGCTTGGTGTCGGCCTCCACACCGCAGGAGTCGTTGCCGGTGGCGCTGCTGATAAAGAGAACAGGGGCTCAGAGGGGCCCTCCCTGCTTGGCTGGAAGCACACAGCGGGTCCCATCATTAATCACCGGCAACCACTGAGCCCCCCACTCCCCCCACAGCAGCTTTGGATCCAATAATCTGACTTTGCACAAACCGCATATTCCTGGATTTTAGGACATGCATCACTCGTTCCTGTCTGACCGTCAGGACCCCCCACCCGGGGGACTCCCAGTCACCTTCCCGATGGGGCAGGGCAGGGGACAGCTGTGGAGTGGGTCTCTGAGGGACAGTATGCACAGCTGGCTGGGTCGCGCTGACGGATTCACTCCGTGTGTGTTTCTACCCTGAACTGGGGGTGGCGGGGGCACTCACCAGGACACCTGCATGAGGGAGAAGGGCACGGCGGCAGCGTAGATGGCCAGGTCCCCGTACAGGTAGATGATGATGCAGAAATAGAACAGGTTGACCCCCACTGGAAGGGACAAAGTCACCGGTCAGGCAGCCACAGGAGCTCCGCATTCTTTTTTGAGGACTCAGCTTCCACCGCTCCCATAGCTTTTGGTTCTCCTGGCTCCTATTCTCTCCCAAAAGGATGAGAAAACGACCCCAAAGCTACACTGTAATGCAGGCAGGAGGCACATCTGCTCACGACTGTCACCCGAGAGGGGCTAAGTGAGGCCCCAGACAGGTGCCAGGTGAGAGGCATGGGCTGGGGAGGAAGCAGTGGCACCTTCAGGCTTGGGACAGGGTGTCTGGGGAAGGGGTGGAGGGGGAGGGAAGGGGAGGAGATGTCCTGGGCTTTACAGCCAGGCCCAGGCTCTAAGACAGAAGACGCTGCCAGGGAATGAAAAGCAGAGAAGGTAACAGAAGGCCCAGCTTCTAAAGCTACAATCGGGAGGGTAAAGCCCTCAATTTCCAAAGACCAATGGCCAAGCCGCGGAGGGTGGGGTGGCCAGGCGTTCAAGGAGAGGTGCTGGGAGAGGCAGCGCAGGAGCGGTGCTCCAGGTGGGCCTCTCCTTAGGAAGCGTGGCCAGGGCGGATGCTGGCTCTGGCAGGGCACATGGGGCTCTCTGTGCAGGGCGAACCCTGGTCCCCTGACCTGCAGGAAGGGCCTGCATTCAGAGCTGGGAGTGCAGGCTCTGGTCCTGATCCCATTGGCCTCACTTCCCACCACCCTGACCGCCTCCAACCCCGTACAGTGCTAAACGCCCCGTGCCTCCAGCTATAAAGACGCCGAAGAAAGGTCTGGGCCCTGCAGCCCCAGGGTCACAGCCCAACAGCCAGTCTCAAACCTCCGTTCAGACTGACTGCTCATTTTGATGGTACTGATCTCAAGTGGCTGGCTTCACGGGGAACAGAAAGAAAAATGAAGTGACAGCTGCCTCCTGATGCCGGTGGCTCAGAAAAGCCTCCGGGGCCCCAGGGGAAAGCCGGGACATG